GCCACGGAGGTCGAGGAGGGCGCGGCCCCCCAGGGCGCTGTCCGTCAGTGCATATGCCGTGTGTGTCCCTTGCTCTCCTTCCTGTATGGCAGTGGCACGTTCAGAGTTTCACCAGGCCGTCACGAGAGAGGCACGCGATACGTTTATATATGGTGAGAGAGAGAGAGAGAGCGAGAGCGCGAGAGAGAGAGAGAGAGACATACACATAGAGAGAGAGAGAGAGCAGAGAGAGAGAGAGAGAGAGCGAGAGAGGGAGAGAGCGAGAGGGAACGCGAGATGGACATGTACCCTGAGAGAGAATGTATCCAGAGAGTGTATCCAGGACGTTCAGCAGCAAGCACTTGCTAGTGTGTGTGCGCGCGCGGGATGGCCTGCTGCATATGTGGACATGCACCTGCACGCAGGGGGCCGAATCCAGTCTTGAGCAGGAGTTTCGAAACGTATGTCGCGTGGAGGGCTCGCAGGTTCGGTGACCCAGCGTCAATTGCAATTGACGAAGTGTGACACCATACCCTCGGAGGTGTTTGTCGACGGTCGACTGGGCTTCGGATTAATCGCATTTTAGAGTAGGGAGCGGGAGCGGGCAGCGGATCGGAGTACGTGTGTATGAGCACGAGGTAGTAAACAGAGTGAGTGGATGTGGGTGGCTAGAGGGAGGGATCAGGAACGGGTTGCCGTACCAACTTGGCGGTTGGTGCCACGATCAGGCAGCGCGACGTAGGACAATTGCTGGTATTACGTTGTCTTGCACAGGTGCAGGGGCAATCGATGGGCCACGACGCCATTTCCATACCGAGTTCCCCTGGGCATCCAAGGATATCGCGGTTTGCTAAGTGCATCTATTCTTCTTTGCAGGGTGCGAGGTCAGATGTTGCTTGGTTGCATTTGGGCGCTCTGGGTTTGTCTCAGCATTGTTTGTTGTTGGGTGGGCGACGACGCGATCTTAATCTGGTTTTCCTTGTCCGTCCCGTAGTTGTCCCGTGGTTCTCGAGAACGGGGGACTGTGGAATCACATGTGGTCGACGGCGCGCGCTCGAGGCTTTCACACTGAGATCGCGCGCGCGCGTGCGCATGCTCCGCGAACACCTCTTCTTCCTCTGCCTCCTTTCCTCCTCCACTCCTCCTCCCCCTCCCCTTCCTCCTCCTCCTCCTTCTCCTCCTCCCCAAAGGAAGCAGGTTTTTTGTTTTTCCGAAACATCCTGAGGTGTTGGGTCCTCGTTTTGAAGAGACAGCGCCCCGCGTCTCCTCTCCTCTTCTCCCCTCTCCTCCTCTCCTCTCCTCCTCTTCCTCCTCCTCCTCACCATCATCATCATCATCATCATCATCATCATCATCATCATCATCACCATCATCATCAGCACCATCATCATCAGCGCTCTTCTCTTCCTCCTCCTCTCCTCCTCCTCCTCCTCCTCCTCCTCCCCCCCTCCCCCTCCTCCTCCTCCTCCTCCTCCTCCTCCTCCTCCTCCTCCTGTCAGTGACAACTGAACGCAAGAGCCAGCGCGGTTGCGGAGGCCCAGCGATCACAACAGCAACATAATATTGACATTGCAATTTGCATGAACGCGTGCTGTGAACGCTCCTGCCGGGCACGAGGGGGCACAATTTGTTAAAATCGCCCCATCTTCCTTCCTTGGTTTCCTTCTCCTCCCCCTCTTCCTTCCACGCGTCTCTCCACCCTCCCAGCCTTTGTCCCCCTCCCCTTTCGTCCCCCTGCTACGCTCCCTGACCCGCGCCCTTCCCTGCCGTTCAGACTTTCACATTGCAGGTGCGCTGTGAACGCTCCTGCCGGGCACGGGGGGGCACATTTTGTTAGCATCGCTCCGTCCTCCTTCCTTCGTTCTTTCTATTTCCCCTCTCCCTTCCACGCGTCCCTCCACCCTCCCAACCTTTGTCTCCCTCCCCTTTCGTCCACCTGCTACGCTTCCTGTCCCACGCCCTTCCCTGCCGTTCAGACTTTCACACTACATGTGCGTAGGACAGCGTACCATTACTCCATGCTGTCCCGAATCAGGTACCGAGAGGGGCAAGTTGCGAGGGGCGCGTTCATTCCCAAGGGGGGCAGGCGTGCCAGACGCGAGCTCTGCCGACGCCCCGATCCAGGCGCAATGAGGAACTGGAGAGTACCTCTTCTAGCGCACTGTGCATAGCGTTGGGGTTCGGGGGTGCACCAAAACATTGACCCCCAGGTGGCGAACGCCAGGCCGTGGTTTCATAACACTCATCCCCATGCGTTATGATCCCCAGAAACCATTTGACTCAAAGGGTTGGTTTCTGCCATCCTCAAGACTTTAAGGATGAGACCTCCTAGAGCCCTTGCAACTCCCTTTCTGCATGGGCATGCTGCGTTGCGCAGCGGGTGAGTGGGAAACCGCAACCACCCGGACCAGGCATCTGATGGTCGCCTCATCCTTAAAGATGGGTTCTAGGAGCCCTCAAAGCCTATAGCGTACCTGGCAGTCCTCCTCCTCCTCCTCCTCCTCCTCCTCCTCCTCCTCCTCCTCCTCCTCCCCCCACACGTTTCGTTCCACCGACGGCCCCATGTAGGCACACCCCATGTCCGCATGTGCCAACGCCACCCATGTAGGCACACCCGTCACACAGTTCGTGGCCGCATAGAGAGTTCCACCGAAGGTTCCAGTGGCAGGGTCCGCATGCGTCAACGCCACCCATTTCGGCACACCCCTCACACGGTTCGTGGCCCGATAGGGAACCCCACGGGAGGCTCAAGTGGCAAGCTCCGCGCGCGTCAACGCCACCCAGGACCGCGCTCCGTGGCCCCATAGGGGGCTTCACCGACGGCTTCAGTTGCAGGGCCCACGTGCGTCAACGCCACCCAGGACAGAACTTCGTGGCCCCATAGGGAGCTCCACCGACGGTTCCAGTGGCAGCGTCGGCATGCGCCAACGCCACCCAGGACAGAGCTTCGTGGCCCCATAGGGAGTGGCAGGGTCCGCATGCGTCAACGCCACCCAGGGCCGCGCTCCGTGGCCCCATAGGGGGGCTCCACCGAAGGCTCCAGTGGCAGGGTCCGCATGCGTCAACGCCACCCAGGGCAGAACTTCGTGGCCCCATAGGGAGCTCCGCCGAAGGCTCCAGTGGCAGGCTCCGCGTGCGTCAACACCACCCAGGATAGCGTTTCATATCCCCATAGGGAGCTCCACCGAAGGTTCCAGTGGCAGCGTCGGCATGCGTCAACGCCACCCAGGACAGCGCTTCGTGGCCCCATAGGGAGCTCCACCGACGGCTCCACTGGCAGGGTCCGCATGCGCCAACGCCGCCCAGGACAGCGTTCGGGGCCCCATAGGGGCTTCACCGACGGCTCCAGTGGCAGGGTCCGCATGCGTCAACGCCACCCAGGACAGAACTTCGTGGCCCCATAGGGAGCTCCACCGAAGGCTCCAGTGGCAGGGTCCGCACGCATCAACGTTGCCCAGGACAGCGCTTCGTGGCCCTACAGGGAGCCCCACCGACGGCCCCAGTGGCACCGTTCGTATGCGTCAGCGCCACCATGTAGGCACACCCCTCACACAGTTCGTGGCCCCATAGGGAACTCCATGGAAAGCCCCAGTGGCAGGGTCCGCATGCGCCACCGCCACCCATGACAGCGCTTCGTGGCCTCATAGGGAGCTCCACCGAAAGCCCCAGTGGCACCGTTCGCATGCGTCAGCGCCACCCAGGACAACGCTTCGTAGCCCAAGGGGGAGCTCCACCGAAGGTCGCAGTGGTGCCGTTCGCATGCACCTGCGGCAGTGGCGCAGTTCGCATGCGTCTCCCCCATCCATGACAGAGTTTCGTGGCCCCATCAGGATCTCCAGCTCAGGTCCCAATGGTGCACTTCGCATGCGTCTACCGAAGGCTCCAGTGGCATTGCCCACATGCGTCCGCGCCGCCGACGTCGGCGCACCCCTCGCACGTTTCGTGGCCCGATAGGGGTCTCCACCGAAAACGGTACCCACAATGCGGCACTCGCAGCTGCATATGGTTGGGTCCTTCGTCCGGGTTGTTTGTTTCTTTCTCTGTCTGCTTGTCTCTCTCTCTCTCTTTCTCTCTCTCTCTCTCTCCATCTCTCCCCCCGAAGAACAAACAGAAAGCACACACGTGAAACAACACATGAGTATTTGTTTGGGGGGGTGGGGTTGGCGCGGTGGGGAAATATTCTTCTGTGGTGCCTCCCACAGGGGCCCCATCGTGAGGATTTCCCATCGACTCCCTTTGTGGTTTTTTCCAATGGATTCCTGTTGTGAGGCTTTCCACTTGAATCCCTTCTGTGGCGCTTTCCAAAGAATTCCTGTTGTGAGGATTTCGTGCCGCTGTCCAAAGGATTCACAGTTTGACGGTTTCCCGTAACACGTCGTTGTGATGCTTTCCAAAGGATTCTTGCTGTGACGCTTCCCAATATAATGTCATCGTGGTGCTTCCCAACGGATTCCTTGTTTTCTGATGCTTTCCAATATAATATCTTGTGATGCTTTCCAAAGAGTTCTTGTTGTGATGCTTTCCTATCGACCCCCTTTGCGGCACGATCCAACGGCTTCCCATTGCGAGTAGTGTTTTCCAACTGATCCTTGTTGGGCACTCCAAACGGGTCCTGTCGTGAGGCTTTCCAGTCGAATCCTTCTGCGGCGCTATCCATTGGATTCCTCCCGTGAGGCTTCCCAATTGAATCTTGCTGTGGTTCTTTCCGATGGATTCCTTGTTGTGCGGCTTTCCAATCGGAGCCCTCATTGGTGCTTTCAAAAAGGTTTCCAAGGTGATACCTTCCAATCGAATCCCTCTCTGGTGATTTCCAATGGATTTCCACTGTGACGGTTCCCAATGGAATGCCTGTATGGTGCTTTCCAAATGACTCTTGTCGTGAGGCTTTCCAATCAATTTGTTTGTGGTGCTTTTCAGTGGATTCCGAGTGTGAGGCTTTCCATTTGAATATTTTTGTTGTGCTTTCCACAGGACTCCTCTCGTGGTGCTTCCCAATCGAATCTCCTTGTGGTGCTTTCCAA